GTGAGTGCTCGCTGCACCCTTCTGTTTTGGCAGCTACACTAGGATTCTGGGTGATTTGATACACGCCGGGCACGTGTGAGATGGCCGGGCACACGCAGCTTGGGGGGAGCCTCTCGCTCTTTGCCTCCCTGCTCCTCCCAGTCCTCTCCTTCGCTGCAGTGGGCTTGACACCTGCTTTCGCACTGCCCCACACGTGGGGCGTTGTCATTGTCTGTTACTGATTGTAGTAAGTCCTAAGGCTGTAGTAAGTCCTAAGTAAGCCTCTGGCTTAGTTCAGGCCCTCCTGGTGCTGGGCGTGGGGCAAACACTTATTAAAATGACAGAGCCAGCTCCAAGCCCTTACAGCCTGGAATAGCTTCCTGTCTTCCACGGACTTCTCTGTCCCCCTCCAAACCGTTCTGCCATTTCCTCCTCACCTCTAGTTATTTACTTGCCCTTGGCTAGGACTGGAGAGGCCTCAGTGAGGATCAGCATTCAGGCTGCTGTGCGAACGTGTATGAAGACACAAGCCTTGCCCACGAAGAGCCCTCATTGCTGAGCTCATAACCCATGTCTTGTTCCTTTCCCTCTGTCGGCTAGGAAGCGCCTCAGGGCAGGGAGTGCTGTGTGAAGCACCGCACACCTTTCACTTGTCAGCAGAATCTCACAGCAGGGCAAGCACAGGCCTGACTGCAAGTTCCTACAGCCCAGAGGCCTGTAGGTGGGATTTTTGGGAAGCACGTGCCTCCCATGGTGAATGTGTGCAAGGCTCAGCTGAGCACAGGGAGGTGTAACCTGAAGCGTCATGAAGGTGTTGTGGCTGTGCTCGGCTGAGCCTGACAAGGCATCTACAGGCTTGAGGGTAGCTTCTTGCATTTGTGGGCCTAGGAATAGAGTCTGTTGGCTAGAATAGACACAGCAGGGTATCCAGAGGCCTACGCTGCAGTGTCTGCCACTCACCGCCCACCTGAGCCTCGGTGGGGTGCAGAGTCTGCACACAGGTCGGACTGCCAGCAGTGCCTTGCAGGTGAGCTCGTTACGCAAGAGTACACTGAGGGGCAGGTTCCTAGCTTCCAAGGCCAGAAGGGTGAATTGTGATCGGCTAGTCTGACCTCTTGTATAGCCCAGGCCAGAGACCCGCCCCAGAGTAATTCCTGGTGCAGAGCTTTTAGAAACACATCCAGTCTTGGTTTAAAAATTGTCAGTGATGGAGAATCTACCACGGCCCTGGGTAAGTTGTTCCAATGGTTAATTACTCTCACTGTTACTCTGTTAAATGTATGCCTTATTTCCAGTCTGGATTTGTCCAGCTTCAACTTCCAGCCACTGGATCATGTTCTACCTTTGTCTCCTAGGTTGAAGAGCCCATTATTACATATTTGTTCGACAGATACTTATAGACGGTGATCAATTCACCCTTTAACTTTCCCTTTGTTAAACTAAATAGATTGAGCTCCTGGCGTCTATCGCTACAAGGCAGGTTTTCTAATCCTTTAATCATTCTTGTGTCTCTTCTCTGACCTCTCTCCAATTTACCAACATCTTTCTTGAATTTTGGACAGCAGACCTGGATAGAGGATTCCAGTAGCAGTCACACCAATGCCCAATGCAGAGGTAAAATAACCTCTCTGCTCCTACTTGAGTTTCCCCTGTTTATACATACAGGGATCACATTAGCTCTTTTGGTCACCGTGTCACAATGTGTTCAGCTGATTATCCACCACACCCCCCAAATCTTTTCCAGTCACTGCTTCCCAGGATAGAGTTTCCCATCCTGTAAGTGTGGCCTGCCTTTTTTGTTCCCAGATGTACACGTTTACCTTTAGCCAATTTAAAATTTATATTGTTCGCTTGCTCCCAGTTTACCGAGTGATCCAGATCGCTTTGTATCAGTGATCTGTCCTCTTATTATTTACCACTCCCCCAATTTCTATGTCTGCAAACTTTATCAGGATGATTTTGTTTTCTTCCAGGTCATTGATAAAAATGTTAAATAGCCTAGGGCCAAGAACAGATCCCTGCAGGACCCCACTGGAAGCACACCCATTCGATAATGATTCCCCATTTACAATTGCATTGTGAGACCTATCAGTTAGCCAGTTTTTAATCCATTTAATGTGTGCCATGGTAATTTTATATCATTCTAGCTTGTTAATCAAAATGTCCTATGGTACCAAGTGAAACCTCTTACAGAAGTCTAAGTATATTACATCTACATTATTATCGTTATCAAACTTATAATCTCATTAAAAACAGATTTCAAGTTAGTTTGACAGGATCTATTTTCCATAAAGCCATGTTGATTGGCATGAATTATCTTACCCTGCTTTAATTCTTTATTAATTGAATCCCGTATCAGCCGCTCCACTGTCTTGGCCAGGATCGATGTCAGACTGACAGGACTATAATTACCCAGGTCATCGTGTTTCCCCTTTTTAAATGTTGGCACAACATTCGCTTTTTTCCAGGTCTGAGCTGTGATTAGCAAAAGTCTCTGTAGGGAACATGATCCACAGATGTGTGTGTCTGTCTATCTATATATGGTCCCTGTCACCGGAGCATCGGCGCGTGTATCCTCCCCACGTGCCAGAGGGCAGGGCAGCATTGGGAACGGAGGCTCAGCGAGATTAAGGGGCTTGCCTGAGATCACACAGAGTCTGGCAGAGCTGGGAACTTGCCTTAACCACAAGGCCATTTGGGTTCTTGCCCCAGGGCAGGGTTCCTGGCCTGTGGCCATGTGGTGCCCTGTTAGAGAGGCCTATGGGTCTCAAGGGGTGTGTGTGTGTGGGGGGGGGGTGCTTTTCAGGGGTGGGTGTGCAGGCGTGCTGTGGGTGGCATGGTCTTGGGGACTGGACGGGAAGTCAAAAGACTTGGGTCCTGTGACCAGCTCTGCTAGTGACCTGCTGGGTGAGCCAAGATGCTCCACACACTCACTCTAGCTCTTGGTCTTGTCTGTTTAGCTTATAAGCTTCTTGGGGCAATGACTGTCCCTTACGGTGTGTCTCCACCGTGCCCGGTACAATGGGGCTCGTCTGAGCTGGGGCTTGTGGGTGCTCCGGTGATAACAATACAGCTAATTGTCTGGGGAGTGGGTTTGTTCACAGCTTGAGGTGGGTTTAGCAGTAACTCCAGAGTGTCCGTCCCTTTGTCGTTCCTCTCTTGCCCTGGGCAGAGTTGTCTCCCAGCTGCTAGCAGAGCTTGATGGACTTCATTCCACCAGAGACGTATTTGTGATCGGCGCCACCAACAGACCTGACCTCCTGGACCCAGCACTGCTCCGGCCTGGCAGGTACCTGCTCGCTGCCCTGGGCTTGCTTGCACACATGGCTACTTTCCTTTCCATATGTGGGGAGATGCTCCTCGGGCAGTGCCTCGGCCTCTGGGCCCACTGGGCGAGTGGCTGCTGGGGGAGCCGTTCCCTGGGCGATGCCGTGGCCTCTGGGCCCACGGGGCGAGTGGCTGTCGGGGGAGCCGTTCCCTGGGCGATGCCTCGGCCTCTGGGCCCACGGGGCGAGTGGCTCTCAGGAGAGCCGTTCCCAGGGCGATGCCTCGGCCTCTGGGCCCACGGGGCCAGTGGCTGTCGGGGGAGGGGGCTTCAAAGGGATCAGGTTGTGCCCAGTGCAGCCTGCGTCACCATGTTACCTTATCACTGTGCCCACCTTAGCCCCTTTCCCCCCTGTGGTATGGTACATTCGCTCGTCCCTTTTACATTGCAGGCTGTTCTGGGCTGGGCCCATCTCTGCCTATGTTTGTGTGCAGGACCCAGCACGACACAGCCTGGTGCTGATCGTGGCCTTTGAAGGCTACCACAGTGGAGACCATGGGGCCCTCCAGCCTCTTTATTCCAGTCTGGCAGCGCACTGGGAGCAGAAACAGCCCTGGGCATTAGCCCTGGTGTACGGGGCTCCGCAGAGCTCCTGCAAAGGGTCTGTGCTGGCCTCCCGCTCAGTGCCTCTCACAGGGCACAAGCTGGAGGAGGGGCGAGGCGGGGCTGAAACATGTGGATTCTGGCTACCCGGGCTGGCCATCAGCCTGTGGGGGCCATTGCAACCAGAGCATAAACTAGAGCAGCCCTCATGCTCCTCTGATTCCCACTGGGGTGGGACAGGTTGAGAATCGGTTGACGTGAGGCCACCTCTGTTCCCCCAGTCCCCGGGCTCAGCGTGCGAGTGGAGCCTGGTAACAGGGGTGCCAGGGGGGGTTGGGCTGACGCTGGGAACACGTGGCTTGACTGTTGAAGCAGGTTTTTCTTGACTGGCTCTTTCCCTCCACCGCCAGGTTTGACAAGCTGGTCTATGTCGGCATGAATGAGGACCGTGAGTCTCAGCTGCGAGTGCTGAGCGCCATCACCAGGAAGTGAGTGTTTGCCCAGCTGCCTAGCACCAACCAAGCCGCTTCTATACCTAGCTGTGCATGCGCAGCGCAGCTGGGTGGCTAAGCGCGGTGTGGGGGGGATGGCTGGCAGAGTTGAAGGCAGTTCAGAGGTGCCAGTCATGGTGCCCAGAGCTCTGTGGGCTGCCCCCTAGCTTGGAGCTGGAGCATACAGGAGAGAAGGAGGGACCTGCGCAGGAAAGCCCTGCGGCTGGGGGCAGGAACAGAGCTGTACCGGGCTCCATCCAGCCCTAGATGAGCTCACACCACCTCTTCAGTTCCGGGCTCGCCCTTCACACCCACAGCCCCCTCCTGGGCTGCAAGAGGCCTGGCCTCTGCCAAAGAGACGCGGAGAGCTGTAACAGGGCTGCGTCTGCACACCAGGGGCCAGATCCTCAGCAGGGGAGTTATGCGCTGCTTTGTTGAAGTCAGTGTCGCTTGACACTAGCTGAGGAGCTGGCCTGAGCGACCGATTCCCCATTGCCCTGCACTATGGAGGTTGTGGTGCCAGAGGTCCCGTTGTGATCTGGCAGGGTTTTACCCCGCTGGTTTAGTTTCCCCATCTGGCTTGCGGACAATCACTGCTGTTTCTTTCTGCTCAGGCCAGGCATTTACTGGTTGGAGAAACGAACATGTGCATTGCTGAAATCTGTGTCGTCTGATCTCCTGTCCGGCCATGTGGCCGGCCCCGTCTGCCAGAGCCCTTCCTGTTAGGGGAGACCGAACCTCTGGGGTGTGGGGTTTGCAAAGGAATTTTTGATATTGAGACCACTTTGATGTAGATAGATATGGAAATTCTCCTCTGGGAGGAGTCTGCAGCCAGGAGCCAGACCTGCAGACGCCTGGTCTTCCCTGATTGACAGGTCTGAATTGCCTTTGACTCTGCCCTGCGGGAGTGAGACTCCACTTGTGACGCAGGCCAGCCGTGTTCTTGTAGGAGGGAAATGAACAAGCCGGTTAATCAAGTGGTGGAGCCTGTGATTATGGAGAACCTAGTGCAGAGCCCAGGGGGGGCTGCACAGGGAGGAGCTGACCTGGGGATCCGAGTCCTCCTGCCCACAGCCCTCTGGCTGGATTCAGTCTGCGGCTGTCTGTGGCTCTAACTGCTGGGCGTTTCCCCTCCTGGCAGGTTCACACTGGACCCTTCAGTGCGTCTCAACAGTGTCCTGGATCAGTGCCCTGCACAGCTGACGGGAGCAGATCTGTACGCGCTCTGCGCAGACGCCATGCTGTGTGCTGTCAAACGGAAGGTGGATTGGATTGAGGAAGGTAGGAGCTCAGCCCCTTCCTCTTGTGCGCTGGGCGGAGGTTAAAATCTCTAGGGACTAGCTGGACCCCCAGCCATTGGGAGGGGAGTGATGCAGAACAAATCACTCCAGGCAGACACGGGGGCTTCCCCGGATAGGGTTTAAGGGCAGCGAACTGTTTTTGGGTTTTAGTGAAGCATTTGATACAGTGTCTTGTGAAATCTTCCCTCATCGGTTCACACTGGGCTTGGACTTGACTCGGTTGGGGGTTGGGACAAAGGGGAACGCCAAGTGGCCAAGCCAAGTCGGGAGAAGGCTCCTCTGGGGGGTTACCATGGGGATCCGGGCTAGGTCGGGTCTTGTTCACCAGTGATCTGGGCATTTTGGGGACATTCACAAACTGGGAGACTTGCACACACAGGCAGATGGAAGCAATGGAGAGGCAGCATTGTCCATTAGTTAAAGCAGTGGCCTGGGAGCTAGGAACCCTACTGTCCAAATCCTAGCTCCGTCACGGGGCTCTCTGAGGCTCCGCACAGTGGGGTCCGTCTGCAGGGGTCAGCCTGCGGGATGGGCATGGGTATGTCTCTGTACGGAATTCCCCAGCTGTAGAATAGGGTCGTGATCCTGGCTTCCCTCTCCGGGTTTGGCTCCTCAGCACGCTGTCTAATTCCGCAGTATTAAAAAGGGGCCGAGCGAGGCAAAATAAACCGAGAGTCAGATTTAAAAAACGCTCTGTCCAGGGACGAGTGAGCCGCATGTCAGCCCGCAGGGAGAGCCCTGGGAACCAGCCTTCCTGCTCTGCCGAAGCCGCGGTCGTGACAGCGACTGAAAGGGGACTTGTCAATGGCTGTTTGGTCACCAAGTGGCGTTGCAACCTTTTCTCTCTTGTGCCTGTGCCTTAAGCTAGGTAAACAAACATTATATACCAGAGGGGTAGCCGTGTTAGTCTGAATTTGTGAAAAGCAACAGAGGGTCCTGGGGCACCTTTAGGACTAACAGAAGTATAGGGAGCATAAGCTTTCGTGGGTAAGAACCTCACTTCTTCAGCCCATTATATAAATGGGCTTGAACTGGACTCTGCTCCACCATCCTGGCGGTCAGCCACTTCCCCCTGGGTTGTTTGTTCCCTGGCTCTCGGCACAAGGCAGCTGCATAGCGATGGGCTTGGCACCAGGCTCTGAGACCAGTCCCACCAGGGCTTGTTCAGTCTGATCCCAGCCGGGTGCCTCACGGCCCGAAGGTGACCAAGGGCTGGTGGGGGTGGGGAGATGTGAGCACCGAGTACGCGCAGCTTGGCTCAGGGACTACAGCCCCCCATGTAACCCCAAAATGTCTGCAGGCACGCTTGCTACTGGAGCAAGGAAGTCTCCTCTGCTCTCTGTCGTCACCCCTCTTTATTCTTTTCATCAGCTGCTCTGCAGCTTCTCTCTGTGGAAGGTTAAAGTGGAAAGGATTGGCTGGGGAGAAAGGCACGAGCTATCCCCTCTGGTCACTGGCAGCTCCCATGTGCACGAGGCAGAGCGGGGTTCAGAGGTTTGCCAGCCCACAGTCACCAGGCAGGCCCCCCAAAGTCCTGGGATTTAAGAAGAGAATAGACTGGGGGTCCTCTTTCGTTTCTGATTTCGGAGCTCTTAGGTGGCACCCGGGCCACAGTTTCAAGCTTTTCTTCGCAACCATGATGGTTAGAAATTTCATTACAAAACCGAGAGCTGATAGTCGCCCGTAATCACATGATTCCAGAATATGGGGCTAAAGAACATTCTCCACTGCGAGATGCGGCAGGGTGCCCTTCTCCAGGCCCAGTCGTTCCGCCCGAATTGAGTTCATGCATCTGCCTTCCCACAAGGCAGTTTCTTATTTGCCTAGGCTTGGGCAGCTTTTGTTAAGCCATCATTCTGAATGTCAGAGGAAGGCCCGGAGGGGGCTGGAGGCAGGTGGGCAGGCAGGCAACAGGGGGTGGGGCAGGGTGAAGTGAGAGCCTCACGTGGCTGTTGAACAACTTGTGCAGAATCTCGAGTGGGGGCTGTCAGGTCTTGCCTGGCTGGGAGCAGATTCCTGGGCTGTGGGGGGGAAGACCAGCTCCCTGTGCTGTCTGCATTCAGGTGCCTGTGTGACTCTTTCCCCAGGGCTGGACACGGAGAGTTCCGCTCTAGTTCTGACCATGGAGGATTTTGGACAAGCTGCCACAAGGCTGCAGCCGTCGGTTTCGGAGCAGGAGCTGCTCACATACAGAGTGATCCAGCGGAAGTTTGCTGCCTGCTAGCCTGCAGTGGGAAGGGAAGGGAAGGAGCACACACAGCCCTAACAGGTGTGTGGGCTGGTGAAGTGGAGAGATGGAAGCGTCATCACCTGCTGACTCGTGGCCAACCCTGGACGTGGTGCACATTTAGCCATGGATCTGAGGCGGTCGGCAGCACAGCTGGGGTTCATGCTCCTCCTCCTCTGTCCCCAATCCCCCTCCTCCAACCTCTCAGCCTGGCCCTCACCCCCACAGCCACCATCCCGCCCCGTAATCTGGGGTGGGAGGAAGGGGCTTTAAGCTGAGTTGTGGCTCTCAAGGGAAAGGAGTGCGACCAAAGCCCCCGTGAGACCCTGCGCTACTCATGGATTGTCCCATGACCCCGTGCCCTCCCCCTGGCGTAGGCAAAGATCCTGAGCGCGGGGGTGGATTGTCTTCCAGGAGTGAAAAATCCTCCCCTCTCCCACAGCCTCCCTGGGATGTGAGGGAATTAGCAGACGCCTTCCGCTCAGGATCAGCGGGAGGGGGATTCACACCCACAACTCCTCTCCCCGGTTACAGGGCCAGTATAAAACCTGGCACCACTGACGGGTGGTCTCGTGCTGGCCCTGGGCATGGAGGGGAATCTCATCCCGAATGAGAGAGAACTTCCTGGTGGAGCTTTAGTCACGGGGAGGTGGGAGGGTCCCCTGCTGCTTTCCCCGCTGACACATGCACTACAGGCAGGGATGGTGCTTCCGATCACTCAGGCAGCCACGAACAAGACAGGAGGGGGAGCCAGAGCGGCAGGGTGGAAGCGTGGGTTCCCAAGCAGCTTCCCAAGAAGCGTGGGGTCCCCTGAGATGTTTTTGCAGGGATTCTGAACCCCCCTGGCCAGCTCCCAGCACACGGGACTGGGCACTACACCGGGCAGAGGCACGGAGCACTTGCATTGTGTGAGGACACTGCTGGCTGCATAGGCAGTGGGCAGGGGCATACACTACACTGGCTGTAAATACTGTACACGGGCTTTCTAAATAAAGGGGGAGTTTCTGGTCTAGTTCTCAGCTGTGTGTGGGCATTTATTGCCCCCGCTTCAGCTGGGGCCAGGCGTTCACAGAGAGCTGCGAGAGGGCGTTACGCTCTGTGCACACAGGGGCGTGTTGACTCACCACGCACGCGGGTTGCAAGAAGCAGACTGCACTCCGGCCAAGCCCTGCTCAGTGTCATTGTACGAGGGGCTTGCAGGGGCAGAGCTGAGCCGGGCAGGGAGTGTGGGTCTGTGCACAGGCCGCGGTGCCCAGCAGGGCTGGGCTGTAGTGGGGCTGGCTTTCTGAGGACAAGGACACTGTGGTGCGATAAGACTCGTGCAGTGACGTTGGCTTCAGCTTTTCTCTCTCTGGGTCTGGCCCCAGCTTCCCCTCCCAGGGGAATCTCAGCAGCCCATCCTCAGCGGTGCCACCATTTAGCACCAGTTCTATTAGCATAAAGCCCATCAGCCTGGGGCCAGGCCTGGCAGTCTCCCCCTGGGAGATCCTGGCACCCCGGGGAGGGACTGAGCCTGCTGTAGCAACAGAGATGCCCTTTTCCAGCCACCCATGGCCACTTACCCTCCCCTGGTGCTGGGAGAGCAGCCCGGCAATGGGCACCCTGATGGGCGGGGAGAGGAGGTGCAGGGTAGGGTGCTGCCCGGGAGCTGGCCTGAGGCAGCCGGATGGGCACCAGTGCTGGGTACAGCCCTTCAGAGCACAGGCCCTGAAGCTGCCATCTCCCCTCTGGGACCAGTGATACCTGTCTCTAGCAGCCACCTCTCCTTACCCGCCCCCCGGAGCACCTCCTCGCTGCCCTTTTCAGCAGCAGTGCCCTGGGGCTGACCCAGCCCAGCCCTGCTGAGTGCCCCCCTCCCAGCTGGTCTACCCCTTTGTGGCTCTCCCCACCCCCACGGACGTGCTGCTAGGAGCTCGCCGGGCTGACTGCTGACAACACCCAAGGGAAGCTAACTCAGGGCCAGGATCCTGGGGCTGGACAGCAGCCACCGTCCCCAGCCAGGTCGAGCCCTGCGCTGGGAGGGAGGCGGGTACTCGCTGTTGGCAGGCCAGACTGGACTCCCCCGCCCCCTCCTCACAGCCTTGAGCGGCCGCACCAGCTGGCTGTGGGTTTCTCTGCTGTGAGTCTTTTCTGTCTCGACTCCTTTCCTCGCCCTCAGCGAGCACCCGGTTCAGGCTCACGCTCCTGCTACCGCGCAGCCACCCACCAGCTGCAGCCTCCCCTTCCCGGGCAGCACTCAGCACCCCTCGCTCGGGCCCCTGACGGCTGCTGACACTGGAGCCAAGGGGTACGTTCTCCAGCTGCTGCTGCTACTAGTGCCCGAGCCAATGGCCTGGGCCTTACCCACAGCATCTCCCAGCCCTCTGGGCTGCATGTGGAGGGAACGGGCTCTCAGTGAGGGGGTGCATAGAGCTGGGTGGCCCACAGGTACCCTGCTCCCACAGCACTTGGGCCTGGAGCTTATGTCTCCCAGGACGCCCTGCACAGGGCCCTTCAGCCCCGTCGGGAGGGGGGGCCCACAGGCACAGAGTGGCAGCTCTGTGGAGGAGTGTCTCTCCTCCCCCTGCCATCTGCAGCAATGGCCAGGCAGATGGTGCAGCGGCTGGAGCACGCAGTTGAACACAGGCTCTGCTCCGGACTCCAGGCGTGAGCTGGCCCTGTCCCTCCTCCATACCAAGGGCCCAGTGGCACCACGGAGAGATCCCCATGACCGGCACCAGCAGAATCCTGCTCCCGCCTCCTCTGAGCTAGTCATCCCCAGCCCAGCCGCAGAACAGACACCAGGACCACGTGCGCGGGTCACTCTCCATGAGCGTTGTTTCACTTTCCTCGCAACAGCCTTCTGGAGAGCCCTCAACAGCCCTGAGATTCAGACAAACGCCCCCCACCCCGGTGCAGCCTGACAAATGCGAGAAGCAGCAGCAGTATGGGCCGGTCTAGCCAGCCACCGAGCCTTGCTCAGGCCTCACAGGCAATTCCTGGGGCCTTCCCCTGAAGCGGCCGGCTGGTGGAGAGTCCCATCAGCCGCCCAAGCAGAGCCGTTCAGACAGGAAGATGGCGAAGAGTTCCATCTCCTCGTCCGTTGCCACACGGCCGGGGGCGCAGTCCGACCAGCAACGCCCGGGAGCCCCAGGCAGCGCCTCAGCCTGTCTTCTTCACCACGTGGATGAAGTAGCAGGGGGTGTAGGCCTGCCCGGGCTGGTAGGGCTGGAAGTCGCCCAGGACGCTGTGCTGGCACTGCCCCTGGAAGGCGTTCTTCAGCAGCTCCGTGAAGGCCTCCAGGCAGTGAGGGTAGTAGGAGAGACGGAATTTGCTGGAACACAGGAGAAGAGAGACCACACTGAGGGGCTGGGGCAGGCGCCTGCGGGGGGCTCTGGGATGTGCCAGCGTGAGCCTGCCGTGCACGGGGGAGTCGGGGTAGCAGGGAGGCAGCTACGCCACCCAGGGCTGGGGCTTCTCTTAGGCCTACAGGAGTCCCCAGCTGGGCAAAGCAGGACATGCCCCTGCTGCGTGCGCCCTGTGCCCAGACACTTCGTGTGCACGTGGATCGGGGTCCACCCCTCCTCACGCCACAGGTGACTGTGCCAGCCAGCACCTACCTCAGTTCCGGGGCTTCCTCTGGCTCCTGGGCCGGGACCTGCAGCGTGTAGTCCAGGGTCACCATATGGGCTTTGTTGTTCACTAGCAGCACGGATGTGGTGATGTCCTTCGTCAGGTCACTCTGGGCGGGGCAAAAAGCCAAAAGCTTCCTGTTACCTCCTCCCCTCCCGTGTGTCAGCTCCCAGGCACAATGCGGGGAGTTGCCCCAGGGCAGTGGGGGGAGGCGAACGTCACCCCAGCATACTCATTCTGGGATGGAGCCTGCCCGCCTGGAGCTGTGGTGATGCGCCAATCCCAACCCCCAATGCAGCCTGCTCTCCTGGTGTGCTCTGCACAGCACCCAGCGACGCCTCTGGCCGCAGCTACACCCGAGGGCACACAGGGAGCTGCTGCACTCTCCTCCCATAGCCTCAGCCCTGCAGCCTCTCTGCTCTGTCCTCACCTATGACTCCAGTCAAGTCAGCCTCCCCCATTACCTCCCTATGCCCTGTCTGCCGTTAGCCAGAGCTGCTCCCTCTCACCAGGCCAGCTGTGAGGATTCACGTTACCAGGGCACTGGAGCCCACAGGCATGGCCGGGGGGGCCGCCAGAGCCAGGTGGTGTGGCTGGGGAGGACGTGTGGGGTGGCGGGAAACCTCTATCCCCACATCACTGAGTGCCAGTCAGCCCTGTCCCTATTCCTCAATAGGGCACAACAAACAGAGCAGTCCCCCTGACCCCTGGTGACCTCCCCCTCCACCGGGCAGGCCTGGAGGGCAGTGACCTTGTAGTAGATGTTCTTGCCAGGTGGGGCGCAGCCCGTGGCCAGGATGTAGTCGTAGTTGCGATGGTCGATGACCATGAGGCCGCCCGGTCGCACCATGCTCGCAATGTTCTTAAGGGCCAGTTTATGGTCGCTCTGATCACCTAGGTGAAGAGGCGGGATTCAGCTACCCCTCTGCAATGCACCAGAGCCCGTCCCCCACCCCAGCTGCCCATGGCCCCCCGGCATCTCGCTTTGTCCTGCAGTGGTGCCAACAGAAAGCAGTGGACATGTTGGGGCCTCTGGGGCTCTGCGTGCCTAAGCTAAGCTAGTCCGCCTCCCCGCGAGCCCCATTTCCTGGCTGGAGATAGGCGGGCCCTAGCACAGCCAAAACTGGCCATCCAGGAACGCCCTAGCAAAAATGGGCCCTGGAGCAGTTACAGCCCAGTGCCCTTGGGGCAGGGAGGGGGGCTAGGGTAGGACGGGGCAGCTGGCATGCACTGCCCATATAGGGCCGCTGCAGCACTGGGTAAGTTAGAGCAGTCCCAGAATCCAGGACTCTCCTAGGTGGAGCCGCGCAACCTTCTCTTCTGTCCCTCATTCCTGCACCACACGGGGAGTCGGGGCCTTGGTTGTATTCTGGACGCAGCCTGAGCATGGGCTGGCAGATCGAATCCTGCTGCCATCCCAGCGTGAGCTTGAGCAAGTCTCAGCAGTAAATGGGACGGTGGGCCCGCCTCGCCTGGCAGCTGCGGGGGCTGGTGCTTTGGAGATGAGAGCCCTGCATTCGCACCTGCCCCCGGCCCTCAGTGCTTGGCTGCAGGGCTGGTCCCCGGAAGCAGACGCTCTTCACCAGGCTCACCTTTGAAATCAGGCAGATGCGCAAAGGAGTTTCCCAGGCAGATGACAGCATCAAACCCGTCTCCCGGCTTCTGCACGTCCTTGTCCAGGGTGAGCCAGTTGGCCTCCTCAATGACTGCACCACACGAGAGCTGGTTAACACACACACACACACAAAGGCCTTGCCTTCCCTGGGCTGGCGGACCTTCCCTCCTGCACACAGATCCCCACTGCTCCTGCCTCAGAGATGGGGCGGGGAGGGGCAGTACCCATTTCCACTGCAGCCTAGAAAGCACCACCCCCATACACCGCTGAACAGCTCGGCTCGGAGAGGCACTCCCATGGCCAAAGGCGACAGCCGCAGCACTGAGACACTCGCTATCCTGGGGAGGTGGCACGGGACATTATTCCCATTTCAAAGCCAGCCAGGGGAAGCGAGTGCTGCATCGTGCGAGGGGGGAGAACAGGGTGTGATATCAGTGACGTCAAGGGAAGAGGCGCACGCAACATGTTACACTTGCTGATGATCCTACGCCAGGGAAATGTTCCAACAGGTCCCAGGAGACGGGGGTCCCATGAGGGCGTTCTGCATTGGAAATGCAGCCTACAGCACCTGGGGACTGGACGTTGATCTCCTCGGGGCGGGGGAAGCCTGGCAGAGCCGGCAGCAGGCTAGTCAGGCGTTTCAATGCAGCAGCAGGAGTCCAGGGCAATCTGGGCTCCCGCTACAGAGGCATCACCCCCCAGTGCCAGCAGGAAGCTGTTCTCCTGTCCAGCCCCAAGCGCGCTCCTTGCCAGCCAGAGACAAACCAGGAAGGGTTCAGAGTCCA